GAATATAACACTCTTACTTGTTATTTTTGAATTGGTAGCACTTTTATCGAAGTTAAACTTAACTTGTATAATTTTACTCGTTAAAAGGTACTTTACATTATGTTATTTTGTATTAATACAAAGTATTATTTGAAAATGTAGTCTGAAAAACTAAAACATTTGTAGTTTGAAATATATTAAGGCCCAAATAGACTACACAAGCGGCTTGACAAACATACCAATATTTTACGTTTGTGCAAGCCTGTTATGTAGTGTATGAGGGTGTTTCGTGTTTGTACAAATGCTTTCTGTTCGTTTGTACAAAAATTTGGGCCTTTAAGCTTTTAAAATTTTTTAAATCTATTTCTTTACAAAATAAACAATTTATTTATAGTTTTCTTTTGGATTTTAATTTGTAAATTAATTTTCTTTTCTTTTACATCATAACATTCTTTATAATCCAAAATAAACCAAAACATATACACACCATCAAACCGTATGCCTTAAAAGGATATTACTCATCAAATTAACTGATGAGGACCTTATATGAGAGATAGGGTTAATAATTGACCGTTTTTCATAAAAGATTTTTAGACCAATTTTGGTTCATACAAAACATCTTTACATCGAATATCGAAGATTTATGTTCCTATGAATGTTTTTTATATAAAGTAAAGTAATTTTCTTATGGACCGATCCTCAATACATTTGGTAAAGAGGTTTTAACTCGTATAAAAAATATGTATATGTGTCGAATTTCATCGCTTTTCTGTATTCTGTATTTTTAAGCCAGTAATTATCGTTTAAGTAATTTTCTGAAGGGCACCTTATATGGGGTCAATTATGGACCGATCCACATAAAATTTGATAGAGAGATTTTTACATCATTGAAACTTATGTGTGTCGAATTTCATCACTATACTCGTATTTTATGACAGTATTGAGCGTTAAAGTCATATTCTGAAGGTGACCTTAGGGTCAATTATGGACCGATCCTCATAAAATTTGGTAGAGAGATTTTGGATCAAATAAAACTTATTTATGTCGAATTTCATCGCTATATTTGTACTTTTGAAACAGATATGCCCATTAAAGCTGTGTTTCGGGGGTCCCCTTGTATGGGGGCTATCCGAAAACGTGGACCGATATTGCCAATTTTCAGTACCAAACAAACCTTACCTATAGAGAGTATTTGTGGAAAATTTCAATCCTCTATCTTGCTCCGTTCGGACTCTATCGTGCTTTCAACAGACAGACGGACGGACAGACATGGCTAGATCGTCTTAGAATTTAATGAAATTTAAATTTGAACGCTCATTATTGGCTTAAAAATACTAGTATATAGATGAAATTCGACATAAGTAAGTTTCATACGAGTCAAAATCTATTTAAAAAATTTTATGCTGATCGGTCCATGATTGACCCTATCCCCCATATAAGGTCCCCTTCAGAAAATGACTGCAACGCTCATTAATGGCTTAAAAATACGAGTGTAGCGATGAAATTCGACACAAATAAATTTAATACGAACCAAATTCTGTCTACCAAATTTTATGAGGATCGACCCATAATTGACCCTACCCCCCTATATAAGGTCCCCTTCAGAAAATTACTTTAACGCTTATAACTGGCCTAAAAATACGAGTCAAACGAGGTTTGATGGTGGGTATATAAGATTCGGCATAGCCGAATATAACACTCTTACTTGTTAAATTAGATTTTGGAGTTAAAAAAAATTATGAATTTTTTTTAATAGCACATGAACGATATTTTGTGTGGACATTGTCCAACATCTTAGAAGTACAATTATCTTCTCGTGAATAATTTTTAGCAAAAGCCGCCAAAGTTATAGCGGTTTAAAGATAACAGTTTAAAAAAATTCCCAAAATTACGTTTTTACATTAAACTCGAAAATATAAGCGTGGACATAATCCATAACGAAGGACCCAAAATACAAATTAATTTTACCCAAATATTTTAAATATTCGTGGATAAATTCGCTTTTTAAGAGTTTTTTCAACCTCTTCAAAAAATATTATTTTATAAAACTAAGTACACATTTTTTTATAGACTGTTTAACATGATGAATTAATACATTATGTAATTTACAATCATTAACTAAAAAAATTATGCATTTATATTTGATAGATTAAAAATTATGAGATTTTAAAATATTGATGCATATATTCGAATGCATTTTTTAAAAATTGCTTTAAATCCAAAATGGTTGGTTGTATTTTTTTAAACGGCTTATAGATTTAGCAGTAGACCTCATTAATAGCAACCTAAAAAATATAATTTTATTAATTTTAATTAACGGGAAGGGTGTGCTTCATAAGTTTATCTTGCGTTTTTTGCACACCAGAAACTTTGATGCAAATATTTTTGTGGTTATCCAATAACTGCATGTTTATAATGATCTTCTGCTTCTATTTCTGAATTTAAAGGAGTAAGTAATATAAAAACCGTTAAAATGAAAATCTATATAAAGTTTGGAAATAAATTTCAACTTTTTTCAATGCATTTAATACAAAATCGTACTTTTTTCTAACGGCTTATCGATTTTGGTATAAGCATCATTGTCAGCTACCGATTAATGTTAAGTGTTACCAATTTTAATTAGCGGTTTAGGTGTGCTTCGTCGAATTATCTTGTAACTCAAGAAACACCGCGTTTTCGGCTAAAGATAAATTTTTATGAAATTTCTATTGTAGTTAGCATATCCCTTATTATCTACAATTAACTGCTTTTTTCATTTCTAAATTTAAATGAATTACTAATCCAAAAAACCGTTAAAATGACAACCAGTCCGGTTAATTTAAATTTTGTAAAGAAATTATATATATACATGCATGAACTTTTTTTAATGCAAAAACGCCCTTTTTTAAACGGCTTATCGATTTTCGTATAAGCACCATTGTAAGATACCGGTTGATGTATAATGTCCCCAATTTAAATTAGCGGCTTAGGTGTGCTTCATCGATTTATGTTGTGAAAGAAACCCCGCGTATTCAGTCCACGAATGGCCTTGATTAAATTTTTTTGATACAAGCCAATTCTTTCTATATAAAGATTGATTACTGATAAAATTCAGAATTTAAAATTTGTTTATAATGCGAAAATTCGATAAAGTAAAAAATTAAAAATTCGCAATTTTTTGTATTCGCTCTAACATCTTTGCATGATAATATTTTATCGCGGCTTTATGATTTCAACACGTAAAATTTAAAAGTATTTCGATCACGCGATATTTTGGGTATATTGAAGTTACGCTGTTAGTGTGCTTCGCGAAAAAACCCTTTTTTCGAAACTTTCACGTTTGATTTTCCAATATTTAAGCTTCTCCCGCAGTGATACCTTCTAGAGCACATTTTGGAGATATACATCAAACGATGTGTAATTTCAATGTATACCTTTTCTCATTTATACATTTTGCATAACCGAAGAGCCGCAAATATTCTATCAAAAAAACTGCAAATTTTGTGAAATTGTATAAATTTGGTTTCAAAACGTTGCGGCCACGTAATTCTTTACTTGTAAATGGCACAACAATGAAATATGGACTATAGTTATTCAACAAGTGTATACAGGTTATATTAGCAAAATTGACTTTCTAAGTTGTAAGCCGTCCTCATAATATCAAAAATAAAAAATTAAAAATTCGCAATTTTTTGTATTCGCTCTAACATCTTTGCATGATAATATTTTATCGCGGCTTTATGATTTCAACACGTAAAATTTAAAAGTATTTCGATCACGCGATATTTTGGGTATATTGAAGTTACGCTGTTAGTGTGCTTCGCGAAAAAACCCTTTTTTCGAAACTTTCACGTTTGATTTTCCAATATTTAAGCTTCTCCCGCAGTGATACCTTCTAGAGCACATTTTGGAGATATACATCAAACGATGTGTAATTTCAATGTATACCTTTTCTCATTTATACATTTTGCATAACCGAAGAGCCGCAAATATTCTATCAAAAAAACTGCAAATTTTGTGAAATTGTATAAATTTGGTTTCAAAACGTTGCGGCCACGTAATTCTTTACTTGTAAATGGCACAACAATGAAATATGGACTATAGTTATTCAACAAGTGTATACAGGTTATATTAGCAAAATTGACTTTCTAAGTTGTAAGCCGTCCTCATAATATCAAAAAGTTGTAAAAAAAAACTACTTGGTTTCAATAACATTTTTTAGAAATTTTAATTAATTAATGAATGTACTACTCATTATAACAATATATAGTAAAAATTTCATATAAATTTGTTGAGTCGAATTTTATAAATACCCTATTCTTGTATAGCATGTACCGCTTACAAAAAAGTTCAATAGTCTAATTTATGGGCGGATTACATCATTACATCGACGCAGGTGTTACAAACTTTAAGACATAAACAAAATACGGTTCCCATTAGTGTGGTGTAGGGTGTATTTTGACTGCATTTGGGCTGCTTTGAAATTAACAATAATCGTTCATATCAAGCGTTAATTTTAGCATTAGCACAATTCCTTTGGCAAAATAGCCCCTGCTGCTGCAATAAACACTGCTAAAAGTTATGTTTTCCCATAAAATTATTGAAAACATTTTCAGAAAAAAAAACAAATTTTTCAATCGTTTTTATTTTTTTAATATTATTTACAAGTGTCAATATTGACTCAACCCAGCAACCACAAAGAGTTTATTTAATATTAAAAATAATTTTTAATGAAGATCTTTCTTACATTGGTCAACTGATATTGAATAAAATTGGCTAATTCAAACCATTATTTCAAAAAATATCGAAATATAATATCAAAATATAAAAACTTTTAAAACGAAAGAGTTTGTGTTTGTTGGGTTACATATTTTTCAACTAATACATTCTCACGACTTAGGTTTTTGACAGCAGACTTAGGTTTTGTCATACTCAGTTTCAGTTCTATGTATACCTTTTCTATGTTTAGAACAATTAAAAAATAATTTGTTCGAAATTTAAAAAAAAGTTTGATGTGGTAATATATTTTAAATTTTATTTCATACGGTAACAAAAATTGTTTGTCAAGATTATTATAATTATTTTTGGTAATTTTTTAGCTATTCGGGGAAAAAATATAAAAAAATTGCAAATAAATGTAAAAAATATGCAAAATAATTTGTAAATGGATGTTGGAGTTGTTATACTTGAGGAGTTAAGCTGTAATAATTTCCCAAATAATCGAATTTAGGCATTTATGTAATATCATGCTCAGTATTGCTAGGCCGGCAAATTTTACCGCAAATTTGAGAATTCTAACGGTGAGTTAGAATCACTCGCAAAATTCTGCTCATTTATATGTTTATATGGATGTTAAAATTGTCCATACAAAATTTGCAGTTGCAGGTTCTGAAATATGCGAATTTTACAGATTTTTTTAGGAGTAGATGCGATTAATGCAAAATTTCTCTTGTATTTCTAATAAGGTGTAAAAGAACACCTGTTTCGCCTATTTTTCCCTGAATCACCCCCCAAATATTTAAATTTCCATAAATCTATTTTTTCTGCAATTTAAAGAAACAAAAAGAACGACTATCACTACAAAAAACCTATTGTTGAAATTAACATTTCATTTCGTTACTAACAGAGCACTTTTATGTTAAAAAAACAAAAATTTACACAAAATGTTTATAGAATACAAATTTATGTTAAGAACGCACAGTGATATAGGAAAAAAAAAAAGAGGGAAATAATTCGGTAACTTATAAACGGTTAATCCGATTTTAATGAAATTTGGTATGCACAAAGAGGAGGTGTTGTCGAGTTTAGGTTTTGAATTTGGACCTTATAGGACCTTATAGACCTTATAGGCCCGGCGGGGGGTCCTCAAATTAGGTATATAGAATCTCCTCATCGAGCACTATAAAAAATGTCGTCGTAGCAGTAAATTATCTCTTATAGTTTAGGAGATATTCGTATTTGAAAATTAAAATTTTAAAATTTTTACCGTCCTTACTTTAGTGTTTTGACAATAGCGGGTCCAAATATTCCCGATTTTCGCCATTTTTTTTTATTCGCTTAACAACAAGTTTATATATCAAGCAGTGAAAGAATTATGTAAAAATCATGACTGAGTCCAAAGTTATAGGCATTTTAATTTAAAAAATTAAAAAAAGGCGATTTTTTGTAATTTTTTTGGAAAAAAAGTATCTTTTTCTTTTTAAGTTATCTAAAAAGTTTCTAAGAAGATGTATATAGAATTTATACTTTTTGGAAAGCTCACTTTACATAAAATACGATAGATGAAACAAAACCTAAAAATTTTTGATACCGAAAAACCCTATTTTTTATGGAAAATTCAATTTTGTGCAAAAATTCTCAAATCGCATAGTCGATATCAAATTATAGTGACCTGTTTTATATGACCCAATGTGTTCTTAATCATTTTGTACCGGGTTTCGATAACCCCGCCCCTGGTATGGATATAATAGGCAAAAAACCAAAAAATCCCATTTTTGGGATTTTTTAAAACTTTTTTGGGAATTCCGGGATTTCTAATAAGAAAATTCGAAATTTTGATTTAATTTTGGATTTTGAGTAAAAAAATCTACCTAACTGTAAAATTTCATCAAAAAATATTCATAAATAAAATTTTTATTGCAATTTGAAAAATTTGAATAAAAAACATTTTTTAATTTTTTTTAAAAAAGTATTCCGCGAATTTTTTAATTTTCAAAAATTATATACAGTTTTGAAAAAAAGACAAAATTACCTTTCCATTGATATATAACATGCCTACCTAATGTTTTTTAAGTGACAAATTAATTAGGGAAAACTCAACATCTTTTAGAAAATTTACCTAGCACTATTATTTTCATCCATAAGGTTAACTCTTAAATTTGTTACATATATGGATGAAAATAATAGTGCTAGGTAAAAATTAAATAAAAATTTCGAATTTTCTTATTAGAATTCCCGGAATTCCCAAAAAAGTTTTAAAAAATCCCAAAAATGGGATTTTTTGGTTTTTTACCTATTATATCCATACCAGAGGCGGCGTTATCGAAATCCGTTACAAAATGATTAAGAACACATTGGGTCATATAAAACAGGTCACTATAATTTGATATCGACTATGCGATTTGAGAATTTTTGCTCAAAATTGAATTTTCCATAAAAAATAGGGTTTTTTTGGATGGACCTGGTCCCCTCGGTATCAAAAATTTTTAGGTTTTGTTTCATCTATCGTATTTGATGTAAAGTCAGCTTTCCAAAAAGTATAAATTCTATATACATCTTTTTAGAAACTTTTTAGATAACTTAAAAAGAAAAAGATACTTTTTTTCCAAAAAAATTACAAAAAATCGCCTTTTTTTAATTTTTTAAATTAAAATGCCTATAACTTTGGACTCAGTCATGATTTTTACATAATTCTTTCACTGCTTGATATATAAACTTGTTGTTAAGCGAATAAAAAAAAAATGGCGAAAATCGGGAATATTTGGACCCGCTATTATCAAAAAACTAAAGTAAGGACGGTAAAAATTTTAAAATTTTAATTTTCAAATGCGAATATCTCCTAAACTATAAGAGATAATTTACTGCTACGACGACATTTTTTATAGTGCTCGATGAGGAGATTCTATATACGAAATTTTTTTTAAATCGGAACTCAAATGAAATAGGATCGTTTTAAAAATTTAACATAGCCAAGGTGTCCTAATTTGAGGACCCCCCGCCGGGCCCCTGGTTGGCCTATAAGGTCCAAATTCAAAACCTAAACTCGACAACACCTCCTCTTTGTGCATACCAATTTCAACAAAATCGGATTAACCGTTTAGAAGTTACCGAATTATTTCCCTCTTTTTTTTTCCTATACCACTGTGGAACGGTAACAGAACGAACGTTTAAGTTATAGAAACGAAAGAAATATTTAATGCATAAAGTTGATTTCTTAGAATCTTAAACAAAAAAAGAATTTCCCATATATATATATATATATATATATATATATATATATATAAAACCCGGCGTGCTTTGCTACTCCTGTCGATATAAAATAAAAAATTTTCAGAATATATTGATATACATTTTTTGTTTATAAAAATTTTATTAATATTTGTTTGTCACTATCCAAAACCATAAAGTAATAAGACAAAGAAAGTTTGATATTTAAAGTATTTTATTAATTAATGATATTTACATATATTATTTCTTAATAATTATTTCTTATTCCTATTCATTAGCATAAATTTACAAAATATTACAAAATTACTAAAATATAATTGACTTAATATTTACAATTAAAATTTTTCTTAATAATTATTTCCTATTCTAAAGCCTTGGGATATACAATATTTTTTGGTTTCCCCTCAGGCGCGTAGATATACAGATCTGAAGGTTTCTCAACTATCGAGCATGCAACATAAAGCTGACCAGGTGGGAAGCATGGATTTTCGAGATTTATTCCACACACTTGCAGGGATTGACCCTGAGATTTGTTTATTGTCATCGCGAATGCCAAACGTATAGGAAATTGCAACCGTTTAAAGTCGAATGGCATTTTCGATGTTGTCAATGGGATCAGAGGTAGTAAGACATCTGTTCCTTTATATTGGCCAGTCGTAGTCGTTGCTTCGATTAAGTTGTTCATTAATTTCTTAACTGTTAATCGTGTACCATTACAAAGACGTGGTGGATCAATATTTCGTAATAAAATAATTGGAACGCTAATTTTCAACTTCAATTCGTGGGGATACATTGACGACATCATCATTATTTGTAACAGTATCGATGGATTTATATGTTTTTAAATTACCATCGATTCTATTCAAAATAATATTATTGATACAATTAACCTCAATGTTTTTGGGTGACAGTAAAGCACGCTCACATAACCACTGCCTATTTTTGAAATTACGTTGAAGATTTGAAAAGCACAATTTATTAACTCTTTCTTTGATTGTGTGATCCTGCAAAGCTGAGGGAAACTTTACACAATTTGTGGTTGGCTCAATTGGCATTTTTCCATTTCCTAAATCCAGCAATTGTTTTGCAAAACCTGAAGTTGAATCATCATTTTGCAACTGTACACGCATGTTTGTTGTTAATTTTAACGTGTGAACATGTTCATCACAGGAAGTGTCTGGCGAAAATCACCCGCTAAAAGAATTAATGCACCTCCAAATAAATTAGAATTACTTCTCATATCCTTTAAAGTGCGATCAAGCGCTTCTAAGGATTTTTTGTGGGCCATGGTGCGTTTATCCCACACTATTATTTTATATGTTTGCAGCATTTTACCCATTGAAGAATTTTTCTTAACATTACATGCATAATCTTCAGAAAATTGTGTTTTCAACGATAATTTGAGTGCATAATGCGCAGTTCTGCCTCCATCTAAAAGTATTGCTGCAATACCTGATGACGCAATGGCTAAGGCAATATTCTTTTGTGATCGAACTTTAGCTAAAATTAATGAGATGAGAAAGGTTTTTCCGGTTCCTCTTGGCGCATCAATGAAATAAAATCCTCCTTGTAAGAAATAATTATTAAGAAATAATCTATATATATAAAAATGAATGTGTGTTTGTTTGTATGTTTGTATGTTTGTATGTTTGAACGTTATAGACTACTAAACGGCTGAACCGATTTTCTTGAAATTTTCACAGCATATTCCTGCATGTCTGGAATAGGTAATAGGCTTTTTTATTTCGAAATTTCAAGTGGGCGATGAGCCACGCCCACATTAAGAAAATATAAAATCCGTATATTTTAGATAATATAACAGTTAGAGTCCTCAAATTTTGTCGGAGCCACTTTAGTGTCAATATGATCATTTAGGACAAAAAGTAGGCGGACTAGCATTAGGGGGCGTGGTACCTCCCATATAAATTAAATACAAAAATTCGTTTATCTGGGAAACTAATAGAACTAAATTCTTAAAATTTAGCACGAAGAACTTTAACATCCATATAAACATTTTGGGTAATAAATTGGCGGACTACCCATGAGGGGAGCGGCACCTCCCATATTAATTAAATACAAAAATTCGTTTATCTGGGAAACTAATAGAACTAAATTCTTAAAATTTTGCACAAAGAACTTT